AATTCACTTCTTTCTTTCATTAAGTAAATCCATGTCATTCTTAGACAATCATCAATAAAGGAGACAAAATACTTGTACCCATTATAAGACTCTATTTTGACTAGACTCTAAACATCTGAATGAACCAAAAAAATAGGACTCAACATACGACTCTCAACTCTTGGACTGAAGGACACACGACGATGTTTCCCAAACTGACATGACTCACATTGCAAAACTGGCAAATGACTCAATGACGGGACCAAAATCTTGAGAGCCTTGAGAGATGGATGTCCCAKTCGGCAATGCCATTGTAGAGGAGAGTGAAGTCTGAAGAGCAATTGAAGATCCACCATCGTCAAGATAATAAAATCCACCAACTTCATGCCCCCCACCAATCTTCTTCCCCGTCTTGAGATCCTGAAAAACACAAGTGGAAGGAAAGAAGGTAACAGAATAGTTAAGAGCTTTGGTTATTTTACTAGCAGACATAAGATTGAATGGAAACTTAGGTACATATAAAACAGATGATAAGGGCACAGAAGCCATGTCAACATTACCAACACCACAGATGGGAGATGAGGATCCATTGGCAAGTGTAACAGTTTGTGATGTGGAGGTTTCAGAAGGAGAAGAGAACACACCTGGAGTCCCGGTCATATGATCTAAGGCTCCAGAGTCAATAATTCAGGGAGGGGTTTTAGATGACATGCAAGCAATACCTGATTGGGCAAGTGTGGCAGTGGAATGCTGTGAAGTAGTTTGAAGGAACCCTTCATACTCATCACGCGGTACACTCACCATCTCCCTCCCAGAAGTAGATGTAGATGTGGGAGGAGTTCGGTCTGCCTGTTTATTGTCACTGATATCAACCTCACCGGCTACAGCATGATTAGCCCATTTAGAGGGAGGGCCATGTAGGTCATAACAGAAATTCACTGTGTGTCCTTCCCTACCACAATGAGTACACTTCCTTGTAGAGTTATTCTTCCCTCTGCCACGGCCTCCCCCTGAGTCACGACCACCCCGACCAATCATGGAACTGCCACGGCCTCCTCGGGGAGCATGACCTCCCCCTCTTGTACTATGTCCACCTCCTCTAGCTGTCACAAGTGCTGATCTATCAGACTGTGTGGAGTTCTCAGTCTGTCCCAAAGAAATTCTATGAAGCCTTAAGAAAACTTCCTCAAGTGTAGGAAGAGAAGAGCCCCCTAATATTTGGGCTCTAACTGATTCATACTCCGACTTCAGCCCCACTAAAAATCTTGTAACATCTAGTTGTTCCCTTTGCTGTTGTTGAACCTTAATATCTAAAGTGAGGGGATGATAGACATTGAGTTCATTCCTTATAATCTTCATGTAGGCATAGTACTCTTCTAGTGTTTTGATTCCTTGTTGTAAATCAAAGTAATCCTAATAAAGCTGATATACTCTTGTTGTATTATCTTGTCCAGAATATAGCTTCTTAGCATGCTCCCATATATCCTTAGC